TGTCTCGCACTAAAAGTACAACTATTGTTATATCATATTTTAACTATTCAGAATCATTTTATCCTAATACATGTACAATACTTTCTTTCGTAAAGTATTTCGTGAAACAAGTCATCATTATGATCGAAAATATATTAAGTTTTGTATAGATAGCTAACATCAGAATGTAGTTATTGTCAATTCTCATATATATATTCATTTATCTAGATATTTTCATTCTCTCTCTTAATATATCTTTTATATATTATTTGATTGTAAATAAATAAAAATTGGCAAAGTATAGTTTATTCGAGACAAAGAACACTTAACATGCATGGAACATACGAAATGTTTTGTGATTAAATAAAATGAATGTTAGATAGTTTATGAAATCATTGGACGACATTCAGCAAGAATGTTTCCATTATTTGGATGTAAAGAACACATAGTTGGAAATTGTTTTGCACAGTTCATTGGTGTACAAGCATATTTCGAATCATGACATTGATTACCATTAATAAGTGTAAAACTGCATTTTGTTTCTGTCGCATGACAATCTTTACTTTGGCAGCATTTACAAAGACATAATCCTCGACCATCTGGTGGATAACGCTGGCCATTGGTCAATATCAATATTGTTAGTAATAATAAACAGAGAATTGATGAATACATACTTTTCTCTGATTGAATATAAATCTACAATAAATTGTAAAAATGGTTTGATGAGTTACAAAATGCTAATTGAATGATGACCTTCAAATAATTTCCATGCTTCTATCGAAATTGTCTTCTCATTCAATGTAAACTTGTTAATCAGCTTTAACTATAATAAAAGTCACTAAGGCAGTATATGTTCTAGCCGATTGAACAACATCGATATCCAGCTCCATCAGACGATCATTTCTAAAAACTAACCACCAATTAAATGCATACAGGAATTTGATAATTAGGCCATACATAGTATCTTGACTGCATAGTTGTTATGACATCATCCAGTTGTCGAATGCAATTAATTAATGTTGAGGGTATGGGTCTTCTATTTACGCACACATACACACACAAGCCTTCTCAGAGTAAAAAAAAAACAATTTTCAAACCCATTTTCTTACATCTATGTGACAATAAAATCTCTGCCTAGACACACACCATGGGCGCGAACCCTCTTTGGCTTGTCTTAGTTCCACTGAACTCTAATCACAGCCACAGGATGGAGTTGAACGGCGTCCGATAATTGAATATGTTTCCTCGCTAGTGATTAACATGAAGAAAACATATATCGTCGATAAGAAAAAAATGGAATACAATAAATATAATGATATGTATGAGAAAAAGTCTTCGTTAAATTTCAAAATAAAAACTATTTAATAGACGAAATATGATTTAATGTTTCAATATATTTTTCATAAATCATAAATGTAATAGCTACATAAGAATAGGGTTTTTCAGCAGATTAGGACTTATTCATTGAATGAAAAAAGTTATGTGTTACGTAATTTTCAGATACATATCATGTTAAAAATAGGATATAAATCCTATATAAAGTATCATAAAGAAAGAAAATAAATTAATTCAATTTAAATTACAAGGTATAAATAATTTTAATTAACACGAATATGACAGCTCTAATCAGTAGACAAATATTAATCTTTCAGACAACAACTTCACAACTAGTAAAGCATAGAGAACAACGCAAAGCAAACGAAGTTTTTTTTTTACATTTATTTTAGATGAATCATTTATTATTACACATGCAAAAGAAAAACAAAAACCTTGCAAGTCAAGTCTTGTTATTTGTATTTCTTTTTCTTACCTTACAAAAAACAACCTCGTGTCATGAAAAACAACACTATTGGATATTTTTCTTCGTCGGAATATTTAAATAAAGTCTACATCGAGAATATGTCAACCAATTTTCACTGACAAAAAATATAATTTACATTTAAATTTATTCATTTCATTACTAGTTTAAATAAAAGGTATAACTTTTCTATCAATGATGAATTTACTAATTAAAAGGCTGCACAAAATAAAAAATGATCATAGAAATCTACCTGATGATTCATTTGCATAACAAATAATATTATTTTAACAATACATTGAGTTTTATTTTTTATCATTTCTTTCAAAAAATGAACTATTCTTCTACAAATAGAAGAAAGTTCAGATTTTTCACCGCTAGCAGAAATCAATCGAATAAATATTTCTTCTCATCCAACAGCATCTTCTTTACTTCTTTATTCAAGAAAAAAATCATTCTATGTATGCAAAGACAACAACGATACGACCAACAACTACTCTATCATAGAGGAATACTATTCAAACACTTAGAAGTATGTTTATTTGATAATTTTATTTAATCATTATAATAAACAAAAAAAATGTTTCAGATGCTCATAAATGAACTCCACCTCCCATAGTATCATGACCACGGTTCTTTTAAAGACTAATAGAGAACAAGTACCAACATCAATGGAAAGAATGAACCCGAGAAACTGATACTGCCAAATATAAACCATACTAATCAATCAACACCATACACACTCCTGGTTTATGTGATTTGATTAATATTGGTAACACATGCTATATGAATAGCGCTCTTTAATGTTTCAGTAATATACTAGAACAAACCCAATGGAATCTGTATAAAAAAAAATTATTCATCAATTAAACATGAAGATATATTATTCACATATGTATGTCTTTAATACAATCGATTTGGTCAGACACACATGCTACAATTGAATTTATGAATTTTCTTTTAAATGCTCTGGAAAGAACAAATGTAACATTAATTATTACGAATCTTTTTCATGTTCGTCCAGACGAAATAACAACATTTCTTCTACTTCCATTATCATGAAAATCTTTACTTAATAAAGAAATTGCTTGAAATTGTAATTAATGACTTCCGTTTAGAAGATAATTTAGATGAAGTATATTATTGTCATGCATGAAACTATATATTCAAGGTAAACATCAAACAAATATATGCTTACTATTAAACTTCGTGTTCTTATTATACAATGAAAACGAATTCCATTAGATAATACTTTTCAAAAACTAAATGCATTTGTTCGTTATAAATTTCAACATCAGAATTTAATATCAAATAATGACATATAATATGTCGAAGTAGAAATTAAAATTCTACTAGTAGAGATTAAAATTTTAATTTCTACTACAGGAGAATTTTAAATTCTACTGGAAACTTATACTATAGAAGTATGCGAATTTCTCCTAGAGTAGAAAATAAAATTAACCTGTACGTGATCACTAGATTATTTGATTTAATGCCAAAATCAACTTGTAATTCGCCAATAGTAACTAATTTAACGTGTTTATTGATTTAGAATTTAAACTGAGCTTCACTCTAACCATCTTTTATGGCCAATATGATGCCATTGTAACCAACTTGTGTGATAAACATTTTGAAAGAAATCTTTTCCTAAAGATTCTATATGTTTATCAAATTTCGAATAAAATAGTTCTATTTTATATCATATTGAAGTGTTTTTTCTTTTGATACTGACGCGAGGAGTTCAAATTAAATATCCAAAATCTTTTTTTTTTCTCTTCGTTTGACATATTGCATAATTAAAATAAGTGTTAATTTTAATTTCTATTCTAGAAGAAATTCGCATACTTCTATAGTATAAGTTTAGTAGCATTTAAAATTCTCCTATAGTAGAAATTAAAATTTTAACTTCTACTAATGCAACTAAAAATCGCCTGTTATTTCGATTTCTTCTAGTAGAAATCGAAATTTGAATCTCTACTAGTAGAATTTTAAATTCTACTGAATTTTAATTTCTATTCCGACATATATAGATCAATTTATGTGCTGTATCTTATCATGTTGAATGTTTAGCTAGTAGTCATTATACAATTCCAGCCGTGCATGAATTAATAAAACAATGATATGAATTTAATAATCATCATGAAGATAAAATCAATTCAGATTTTGTTGTTACAAGTAATGCTTATATAGTTGTATATTGAAAGTCAGAAGAATCGGATAGTTCTATATCCCGATGTCAAATAGATAAAAAAAGAGTTTTATTCAAAACAAAAAGAGAGAAGTACTCCGTAAGTTTTCATCTTTGATTTAGTATAAAACTTAATATTTAATATTGACCATAGGTGTTAACAATAACGATATAGAAAATAACTATTTTCGATGGTATGATTTAAATACAACCAGTAAGATAAAAGAAATAAAATGATTAAACTTTGATCATTGTTGTAATCATTCTTCATTTTTATTGATGATCAAAAGTTTGATCTTAAGTATCTTGTTCATATATGAAATGATATCTATATACTTTGTTTTTTGTTTTTGTAAATCTCTTCCTGAAAATACTATTATTATTATTTGTGACGTTTCGGCCAGTCGATGCTGCCTTCTCCAGACTTTATTAATAAAAATGATTTTAACATAGAGTTTAAATACAAAATACAAAATATACTCGAATGAACTCTAGATTCTTCTTTTTCTTTTCTTTTTTCTTCTATTGTGATTTTTGGCAGTAAGTCGGAAGAAGATGATACTATTACGTCACTTCTACTAGCTATCACCGTCTTGCCGATCCACTATCAAAAATCACAATAGAAGAAAAAAGAAAAGAAAGAAGAATCGAAAAATGAAGAAGAATCTAGAGTTCATTCGAGTATATTTTGTATTTTGTATTTAAACCCTATGTTAAAATCATTTTTATTAATAAAGTCTGAAGAAGGCAGCATCGACTTGCCGAAACGTCACAAATAATAATAATAGTATTTTCAGGAAGAGATTTACAAAAACAAAAATCATTTATGACCTTTCTTAACAAATATGAATCTATATACTTTCTATGACAATCGAACAATTCGAAAGCTATGAATATGTAACACATTTATTGATCATTGTTTAAGAAAAGAGAGAGTTCTATGAAGCAAAAAAAACATTCTTAAGTTTTTAGATATATTTACCGAGAAGTTTGTAACGGAACAACTTCTTTAATATTTAATCATATTTCTTCTACATGTATCATCCTTATTTTACCCATGTTAATCTACCATCAAATAATCATTACTCATTAAATGATCAAAATAGCCATCGTCCATCAACCGCATACTCTCCATCTCAATTAAATGTTTTGGAATTTAAAGTATGTAAAACACAACGCAATAGAGCGAATTGTACGTACATGGATATGTGGTCATCTGATACTATAACAGCGTTGAAAGCGAAAATAGCATACTATCTAAAAATAAACTTGTTACTAAAAGAATTCTTTTTGGAAGTGTTTGACGAAGATGATTATCAGTGGAAAACGATTGATGATTCGAATCCTTCCGTTACTATCAATCAACTGAAATTGCGCTCTGGTTGTATATTAAATGTTGAATATCGTACTCAACAGATACCAAAAGATCGACGTTCTCTCAATTCAACTTCAGTTTCGATGTCTGGTCGTGAGTTATGTTTAAAACTTTGTACAAAACCATTAGATAGAACAGATTATATATATTTTACCATTAACTCTTTGTCCACTGTTGGAAAATTACGAAAACAAGCCTATGAGAAATTCAATAAATTAGAGAAGAATCGACCCATCTATCGAGGCAATCAATACTCCTGGATGCTAGTTGAATCTGAGCTGGATGAAAAAACTTTAGAGGATCTTGATTTTGAATCGTATACATTTATAAGTATAGATTATGATGACAAAGAAATCAATTCAAAACTTCCATCTGGTTTATGTGGACTTGTTAATTTAGGTAGTACATGTTTTATGAATAGTATTTTTCAATGTTTAAATAGCATACCTCAATTCATACTAAAAATTTTGGAGTTAAATGATGAAGTAAACGCACCTATTATTAGTGAATACAAAAAATTAGTTAAAAAAATGTGGTCCGGAAAGTATACCGCTGTCGATCCATCATTACTTCTTAATAATATTCAAGATAATTTACCACATTATGCTAATTATCGACAACAAGATGCACAAGAATTTATGAATCATTTTTTAAATCTTATTCATGATGAATTTTCGATGAAAACAACACTCATTACCGAGTTATTCTATGGTCAACTTCAATCAACTGTTAAATGTCTTGGATGTCGACAAACTGAGATAACTAAGGAGCCTTTTTCTTTTTTACCATTATCTATTAGCAATTATAATCAAAAGTCTGTGCTTTATGTTAAAGTTGATGGTGAACAACGTCTAGTTTCTATAAAAGTTAATTCATCAATTATGTTTGTGAATGACCTGATTGATTGCTTTCTCAAACAACATGAACCAAAATTAACTAGAGAACGAATTCAAGCTGTTCAATTAGTCAATAATGTCGTTAAAGATTTATATGACAGTTGGCAATCTCTTCGTAGCATACGTGAAGAAGAGCTTGCTATCGTAGAATATCCGGAGAAGTCCGTTCATCAAAAACATATTTGGTGTGATTTCGTTGATCATTCCACTGATAAAGTATTCCGTCCACCGACTCCTCTAATTTGTCCGAATCAGAATTGTACTTATCGACATCTGTCAGATCAAATCGATCAACTTCTTGGTCATCTTTGTTCTACAACTAATGCATCAGCTTCTGCTTTTCATCTGTATTGGATAGATCGAAAAGAAATGCGACATACACTGAAAGTAGAAGCAAATACAGATGAAGATTTACCTAGCATAACTGGTATAGAAATCGCAATGGCTACTGAATGTGTTGATATCTACAAAAAATACTACAATACCAATCATTCAACTGACAAATCAATGTTAGCCAGTTTATTAACCGATTATTTTCGTGAAGATTACCTTGATGGTGATTATCACTGTTTGAAATGTTCAAAGTCTACTGTAGCTCAACATAAATCATATTTATGTTTACCATTACCACATGTATTTATTATACAATTGAAAAGATTCGTGTATGACGTTAATTCAAATGAAAAAATTGATACATATATTTCATTTCCTCTTTATGGACTTGATCTTAATGAATATACAGTAACAGATAATGATAATAAACCTGAAAATAGTTCATCAACAAAATATGATCTAATTGCTGTTTCCAATCATACAGGTAGTCTCCTGTCTGGACATTATACAACATACGCCAAAAATACTAAAGATGAAAATTGGTACTTATTTGATGATCGATATGTTAGAAAACTTGATAGTGATAAAGATATCGTCACTAAAAATGCATATATACTTGTTTATGTACAAAAAACTGGATAATCAGGTACAATAAATGAAAATGACTGAGTGTATACTTTCTAATTTTTATATGTTGAAATAAATTCATGTAAAATAAAGTTTTTAGACAAGAATATTGCAAAGAAATGAATTCAATGGTTAATAGAAATATTTCATTGTTGTTTTATCTAGAAATTTATTATGAATCATAAGCATGATTAATTTTTTCCTATTTTTCAGTATCGTTAAAGCAAAATTCATTTGTGCTATTCGAATATTTTTTTATTCCTGGAATCTTCGAGTTATAATGTACTTTCTATGTTGATCTGATAACAAAAGGGTACGAATTAATATTGTCCATAAAGAATTCTATTCGACAAATTTTTACTTGGATGTTATTCATATATATAAACAATTTGTTGTGAGACAATAAAAAGAATATGTTAGACAGCAGTAGCGCTCAACAGAAGCTTTTTTCTATCTTCTCTTGGATAAAAATACTTCATGCAAAAATTTCAATAGGATGTATTAATATAAGCTGGTTTTTGTATTAATCTTTCGGTTAAAGATATTATCTTTCGAAAACTTTCTTTGTTTTTTCGACAGATCTTATTCTGATATATAGCATATATGAAGATTTACAGAACTAATCCAGTCGCTTTTCGACCAAAACAATGTTGGTTTGATAAATACTAGTGATTAAGACAAAAACTCAGAATGGTTTAGTTTATTAACAAAAAGCTGTGACCGTCCCTCAGATCACATGGAAAATCGACCTTTGAATTTCAGCTTCAAACTTAACATGAACAAAGTTCTGAATGAGATTAGTTGATTGTGCAACTATTTCTTTTCTGGAGATGTAGATATTTGAATAAGATTTGCTTTTACACATGAGAAAATTTTAAACCTTCAATATCTTTAGATCGAACATACTAGAAAAGTTACCAGTTATTCAATGAACTAATTTCATTGAGAACTTGGTTCGTTTCAAGTTTGAATTCGAAACTTCACAGTCGATTTTCCATGTGACTTAAAGAGGCCACAGATTCTCGTTGCATATAATTCAAATAGACACTGTACCAATTTTGAACAACATGATAAAGTTGTTGATCTTTTTTTTTCAATAGTTTGAATAGAAATGAGCAATTATCATGGTTATATCATATGCAAGTCGAAAAAAGCCATAGGATAATATCAAAACAAATGGTTACTGGTGTAGTAAAGAAATATTCGATTGAGTAAGATATTTTAGTATAGTCGAATTGATTGGAATCTTCCTTAGTGCATTATTCAAAGATAGGTCTTTCTAATTGAGTTAAATATTTAAGTATTTGAATACATATATACTTTTAACTTTTTTTGTTAAATAACTAATGAATCTCTTGCCTGTTCATTTTTCTTCACTATGAGGCTATGAACTCGAAATTATACTGATATGCGATTCTTCTTTTAACTGATGTTAATTTTGAAAAAAACTCTAATCTAGAGTTTTGTTCATCCAGTCTATATCTCATATTCTGACTCAAAAAAAAAATATAATCTATTAGTCATCAGAAATATTATTCAATTTCAAGAAAAAATAAAATATGAATGATAATGGAAATATTACTTCAAAATTGTTAACCAGGATAAGAACCACATAAATTCCTTTTAATTAATTTATTCTTAAATGAACTAATTTTTTAAGTGTAGATAAGAACGACAATATAATTTTCGTTTTTAACGAATTTATTTTAAATTTCCACTAGCTACTTTGTATCGTCTTATTTCTACGTAGTTGGAATCCGAATTATAGAATAAAGCTGATAATTAACGAGAAAACTTATCTGATTGATCACTTCTGTTGAATCTGAAGAAAGGGATTTAATAGAGTTCAAAAACTCAGAACATCTATCATTGTTGTATTGATCCAAAGAAATAGATTTGATCTAGTTTTTTTTTTAAAGATAAGACACCGCTTTTTTTTTTGTAAATTTTTCTTTTTCAATCAATAGTAAGATACACATGGTTTCCAACAAATACTCGAAAAATAATTTAGAATATGACAGAGATATTTTATTTTCTGATTTGATGATTGTTGTTGATTGATATTACTACAGTACACTAATTGTTAATGGAGTGGATGCATATAAACAAAAGCTTTCAGCGTGTAAAAACAAGAAAGTTTACACAGAGCACGATAATATTTAAATATATTAGTAATTCTATTCATCGACTGAACTTCTAGATCAATTTTTGTTTCAAACTTTCTTCTTTTATTAAAATTTTACAATAAAATTGTGCAATACTAGATGAGAAATTGACAGTGAATAAGAAGAGAACCATGATAAAAGCAATATGCATTTAAAAAAATATATAAATATAAACTATTTGTCGTAAAAAATGTTTGCAGTGTCGCAATGAAGAAATCTGGTTCAACATGGTACTCCGATGTGCTCAAATGGATTTTGATCAACAAACAAGAAAATATTAAAGAAATTGATGCATTTATTTTTGAAGAAAACCATCCATTATGGGTCCACCATTTAAAAAATTTTCAAATGAACTATTAAGTCATTTTCATGTAATTATTTGATCATGAAGTTTTGAACTGAATTCGTTATAAATATTAATTATATCTTGTTTATATTCATCTTTCATTAATTATAATGTTTATTTAAATATATTTCAGAAATATAATTATGGAACGAATAATATGAAGAAGACATCTTTTAGAAAAAAAAATTATTACGAGAAACATTCTTTAGAAATTCTCAGCATGAATCTGTAGTGTTTGTCTTTTCGAATTTTTTTAAAATAATCATTGAATTTGATGAGATATGTCTATTGATCAACTGCTGAAATCAATTATGTAAATCGATTTTTTTCCCACATCTTGTGTTATGGATTTGTTTATTCTCCTAAAAATATGAGTAAGGATAAATATCATTATCAAAAACGCTTAAACAATATTGAAGCTTGTTGATCCTAAATATGAGGAATGTTTTTCCTAATAGTAAAATGCTTCCAATTATCTATTATCATCTTTTATATTGAAATCAATTAATTCTAACACAGTGAAAATTAAATTGTAAACTTTGTTTTTAAGAATTATTCAAAAAGAAAACACAGGATACCTAATATAATATTTTATTAATGTTGGATCTTAATGATGATCATGAACATAAAGAAAGTACAAAATGTAAAATGGCTCTTTTTTTGTTTTTACATCACAACTATGAATGCAACGGTCCCATTCCTACTGCTTCGGCTTATTTTATCGCTGAAAATGAGATCGAGACTAAGCATTACTCTTGGAAGCTTTTTAAACATTGGAAATCTGCTATTTTATTTTTACTGGTAGAATTTGAATCTATTACTGGTTCTTATGAATTTTTATATAACTTGAGTCAAAAATTCAATATTGTCAGGCGAATGAAAAGCACTATAATACCGTTCATATACAATCCAACATTGAAATTGTTCAATGTAGCTAGTAATAAGAAGGAAAAAAAGAAATGGATATTTATATCCTAATCATCTCAACTTTTGCCATAGCATTTATTGAACTTTTAAGATACAATTTATCATGACGGTTGTACATGATAATGTGTGAACGATGATCAACTGGTTGTTGATACTTTTCCAATGGCATACGATATATCATGATTACTAACGAAATCGGATTAGAGTATCATAGTATTGATCATATCAAATATACAATCCTTGAAAGGCTTATTCAAATATCAGTTGAAGACAAAGTTTTGTGTCAACATGAAGTTATGGTACGAATTTCACACAAAACAAAACCTTTTACAAAATATATTATATGTATATGATGATTTTTTCTTTTGAAAACCAACAGCAAAGACTTTTATTCGATATCAGATATACTTGTATAAGCTTCAAGTTAATTTCGTGATAAAAATAAAATATATGTATATACATATGTATATATTGAACATCGATAGGAAATGACAGCCAATTAAATCCTCAAAATTTCATTTTCAAACCAATAAATCATGCATTCAAACATGAAAAAATTCGGCAACGATAGTCTGTTGATAATATAATCGAAAAAAACGATATATCTGTAAATGGAATTAAAAAACAAATCAACAAGCAAAAGCCATGAAACATGTATCTGATGTTATAATAATAAACAATGCTACAACATTAAAATAGTTTCCATAAAAAACATACATATACAATTAAACATCAATAAAAACATTAGACTAAAATTAAAAAAAATAGACATACACACATAATCTATTTTTTTCTTTTTTTATTTGTTAGTCTTTTTCTTCGTTTTCGTACTGCTGAATAACGTTTAGCTAGAATTAATTTTCCTTGTGATGTTAACCATTTTTTAGCTTTTATCGGTTCATTTGGTTTAAATAAAATTTGTTTACTACCATCACAATCGCCTGCTTGCATTGCATTACATAATTTATTAGCCCATGGATATGAAAGACAATGATAAACAACAAAATGATTTAATAAACCTGTATTTTCATGTGTTTGACTTTCTTCACATAATCTTATATCATGAAATTTATTTAGACCGAATACACCTAATTTTGTTAATGGACAACGACCACGAAAAGATTTCGGTAAAATATTTACAATTGATTCTGTTGATTGTGAAAAAAGATCACAGTCACGTTCACAACCATTAAACATTATATGACGAACAAGACGTACTAAAAAAAATTCAATATTTCTTTAATATACAAGTTTTTTTTCACACGTACATGAAGCTTTAGAACTGAGACAATGAAAAACACGTAAATGTGTAAATAAATAAATTGATGATATATTACTACGTGAACATGGTACATGTCGTAATGGATGTTTATTTAAATCAATGCCATATAATTTATTTGTTAATGGACATATATTTACTTGAAAATGATTTACAACTGGTTTCTATATTTAAATATAAGCAAAAAAAACTATAATATGAGATACTTTGAAAGAAACCATATATTATTTTACCGAGGATGAAGCATCTTTTCTACGACGTACACTTGACATGGAAAAAATAGAATTGTTTTTTTATA